ATAATATATCAATCTTTAGTGAAAATATCAAATGGCCTGAACGACAACAAAAAAAGGCAAAAATCGCTTGCCACGGAACGTGTTAAACGTATTTGTAGAAAATACAATACATTATTATATTATACATTCAAGCATGGAAGCAACGCGGTTAAGTTTCAAGCGTACTATGCACGATTACGAGGAAAAGATAACTACGGAATAAATCATTCTACGGAGAAGAAGAAGAAGAACGAGAAATTGCACAACCCCTATTCTTATTCTCGACGGGGAATTTCAATTCACGACAGATTCCGAGATTTCAAGAGCTTATTTGTCTCTGCGCTGAATTTAAACTACATTCGTCACGACTTGCGTACGTCATTCATCCTCACTCGGACGTCAAAGGATCATTCCGCGAAGCGATCAACCGCGGCGTCAAATGAGAGAGAGAGAGAGAGAGACGATAATTGCGATACGCAATTTAATGAAACGATCATCGTTTCGCGTCCAGCCGCTGGCCACGTTAATGAACAACTCTAACCAACCAACTGCCACCGCCAACTATAGTAACGACACAGGCCTGGCTATAAAAAGTACATGCGCTTCTTCGGCGTCGTAATCAGCCAAAGGAAACGGTGCGCGCCGTCCCTGACACGCGAGTCTCTCTGCCGAGCGTACGCTTTTTCGACGCGTCCGCCACAATCGGGCCGTTTCACGTACGTAACATCGCACACGCGCGGGCAAAATGTATCCATGTTCACGTGTGCGTATATATAGAAATCGGATCTATGACCTGTAACGCGGACAGTTGCACCATCGAGGCGCAGCTTGCGCTTTCGTCGTCGAGAAACGACGTGAACAGCAGCTGATCTCCGTCGCGACGTCATCGTCGCGATCCTCTTTCCCAAGTTTGAGGAGAAAAATCCACTCTCCACTATTTCACGTGACGCAAACTGTCCACCGTGCTTCACAAGATTCGCCGCTGCAATCTAATCTCTCGCAGAGACGATTATTTCGATTATTATTTCGGTCCGCGCGTGGACAACGTAACGTTGTAAAATGACGTCTTTTAAAAGTCTAGAAAAAAAGAGTATTTCCCACGATTGTATTTCGATCTTTCTTATTGTTGTTGACACGCTGTACATCGGCAGCAAACGATTTTCATTGATTTATTTATTGCTTTTCCAGAAAGGTGATTACGTACTTCTCTTACGGATATAAAATGTAAACTATCGAAGAACGATGATCGGCTGTCACGGTTGATTTTCTTTCTCGAAATACATGCATACACAGGGTTCGTTGGTTCTTTAGTTGGAAAACTTCGACCTAATTTTCAATCCGTTATACTAATAAGTACGTCGCCACAGGCATGGCAATGATTCATGATTCAGAGTGCAAAATTGCAAATTGAAATTGAAATCCAATGGAAGTATTTGCTCTGTTGACACTTGTTTGCAAAACAGCAGTTTTGAACTTTTTTCAAGGATTTTAATTTCTTCGTCAAAAGTGACGTG